AACTAGAAAACAAATCAAACGTGTTGATTAACGGAGCCAGATGTGACGCCAATCAACACAGAACGTCTGGAGATTCCATCAGAAGAAGTTTATTCATTTAGATTCATGTAGAAGCAAATTAGTTTTTTTTTTTATAATCTGATATTTAGTGTAAATAATAACAGATTTATGCAAACTTTAATAGAAATCATTAAACTAAATGATGAGTCACGGATGTTTTATTGCTTCCATGGTTCCCAACCTGAAGTTTGCACGCCCCCTAGAGGCGTAGGAAATTTATTGAAAAAATGATTGAGATTTTTATTTATTTATTTACTGAAACTTTTATTACACTGAGGAATGAATAATTAAACTTGAAATTATTTTACTTTAGAGGTAATTTATCAATTTAAAGGAGATTGTAGTAAATTTTACTGCAATAATTCATTTACTGCTGCTGACTTTTCATTGGTTTACTCATGAAAAAAGGGGCGGGGGTGCAGATTGATTCGACATAAAATTTAAAGCACGTGGGGGGGGCTGCTTCAGCTTATCTACGATTATTTTATCAAACGATTAAATATTTTTTGGATTAATAGTCTGATAGAAAAAGATGCTTTAATACATTTTATTTTTAATTTGAATGAGTTTAAACAGAAATAATTATTTTTGTTTTAAATGTAAAATGCAGATTTGGTTTCATTTCATTTTATGGCAGACCATTCGGTATTTATTATGGTACTTACCACAGAGGTGATTAAATAAAGAAGCTTATGGAGATTTATTGATTTATTTCTCGTTGTATAATTTAATTACTGCTTACAATCATTTATTTTTAATATTTCTGTCTGCATATAATTTAGAGCCTCTGTACTTCGTTTAGTGATTAATCCACGACTAATTTAGGCGGCGATTATTGGAATCATCCGTTAACTATTTAAGACGATTCCCCGTCTGTTGGCTCTAAAGTTAAAGGATTGGTTGTTTATCATCAGCAGCACTCGGTGTCTCCTCAGCATCTTTGTTTCATAATATCAAACTGGACTCGCTGTCGGCCGACTCTGTTAAACCCAGGGGCCATAAATCCGAAGTGAGCGCGTCGCTCTGCTGTTTACGATCGTTCCTTTCCAGATCCATACAGGTGAACGGTTGCATCACTCAGGAGGAATGGATGTCGTTTGTTTTTCTGCTCAGGTTAAAAGGTTCGGAGGAGTGGAGGATTTGTTTCAATGTTTACCAGCCGGATTCGGTGGCCGACTTCAAAAAGAGCAACCCGGGCAAACCGTACAGCCGCATGTGCGTCTGCAGGTAAGTCCTGAACGCTCGTTTACTCAGGATCCACTTACAGGAAAACAATGAACCCAACATGAACACCTCAGTTCTCCTTCTGACAGGAATAATCAATGACCTGATGAAAGGCGTCACTCTTTTTGTTCAGTAAACGTCAGAGAAAATATTCGTCACGCGGTTGATTCATTTCCTAAACGATGTTTCTCCTTTTTCCTCCCAGTCAACACAATCTCCTTTTTTTCCAGTTTCGACGGTCCTGTTCCGGACCTCAGCGTCATCAAGCAGCTGGCCTTTCAGAGCGGAGACGTTCCCGTTGTTTACGCCGTCGTTGACCACGGAGACATTTCCTTCTACACCTTCAAGGACTTTGAGCTGCCAAGAGACGTGTTCCCCTGATATCCACACCCCCCCAGAACCTCCGCGTCTCCTTTAGACCCCAAAACACTCATTTCTTTCACCTACAGCCCGCTCATCCAGTTATTTTCTGTTTTTTGAGGTTATATTTGCTTCCTATGGATCGATGTTAACAAGGGAATCACATTTTTTAAATAAATCTTTGTATTTTACCAACTGCTGAGCGTATATGATAACTTTTGCTGAAAATGGAAAATTGGGATTCATGAAACCTTTTTAGCTGATTTATAAAATCTTCTATTATAATATATCAAATTTTCCCCCACACTGGAAAAAATCAAAATCTAGATAAGTAATTTTTTCCTTAAAATAAGTGCATTTGTTCTTGGATTGAGGAGGTAAAAGGGACATTTTGCTAATGGAACAAGACAATTTACACTTAAAATAAGAAAACACAATTGCATTGTCTTATTTCAAGTGTATTTTATCTAAATATCTTATTTTAAGAGTAAAAATACTCATTCCACTGGCAAAATATCTCATTTACCTTCTCAAATTAAGGGTAAATACACTTAATTTAAGACATTTTGACTTAATTCTAGGTCGTTTTTCCAGTGCATTAAATTCTGAAGTGAATCCTTTGAGCTCCAGAATGTTAATAAGAACCCTTCATATTAGAAAAACAATATTTTTTATGAACCTACTTTAAGAAATAAAAACGTAAACTTTAAGTTGAAAGTAGCTCTAAATGCTGCAAAGCTTCCCTGAAAGTTCCAGAAAGGAAAACCTAAACTTCAAGGAAACGAATTGTTTTGCTGATCTGCTTGTTCTCAGCTTAAATCGTTCCTTAAAGGCCACAAGCTGAAACCCACTGAAAATAAAAGTTTCACTTCAGATCAGGAGTTTCACTTTGAAATGTTGGAGAAGTTGTTCCAGAAATAAACCCAAATGAAAAACTAACCTTTAAGTTCTAGAAAGGTTTTATGGATGATCTGGAAAGTACAGAGAAACTCACATTAATGTCATTTATAGGGTTTAATTTCCAATGTGCAGCAGTAGATGAAGTACTTTACAGTAGTAACTGAGTAAAAATATTGATACTCAGTCAAATCTTACTCAACTACAAGTAAAAGTTCGTCAGGTAAACATCTGTTCAGGTTAAAGCATTTAAGTACTCACTTTTGAAAAATACTTAAGTATTCAAAAGCACAAAAAGTTAAAAAATACCAATTTAATTTTGTAATAATTTTAAAAGAACCTGTAACTTCAGAGACCAGCTGATGTATTGATGCGTAGAACTGCGTGGTATAGATTCTACACCACCTGGAAAGAACTTCAGCATTAAAATGCCTAAAAAAAGGCATCTGTTTTATTTTCTTATATAAAAACAAACCAAAAATAAAACAAGAGTCTTGATTGTCCTCCTAGTCTCTATGGAATAGAGGTTAAAGGTTGAATCTAATTTACCACAAAGAAACTAGAACTGATCTGAGACTCATCCTACTAACGCCTTTATAACATAAACTACTAAAAATATCTACTCTGAGTTTCTCACATCTGTGGAATGTCATTAAATCTCTAAATCAGTGCCACTTATTCATTCATTCTAGCTGCCTAAGGACAGAAAAACGGCACCAATGGATTAAAAAGTTAAGGAATTAGCAGCTTCCTAGAAATTGAGTAAAATGTTACAAGTCCCACTCCCAAAGATACTCAAAAATAATAAGTACCTAAGTACGGTAATCAAGTAAATGTACTTTACTTTCCACCACTGCCAAGGTGCTGTAAATGATTAAAACTCACCTTTAGATTCTAAGAAATTTCTTCCTCTTCCATTTAAATTATTTGACAATAAACTGTAAATTCCAGGACTGTGATCTACATAATTTCCCAGAAAGCACCCTGTCCCGTTCAGTGTTGGGGAGTAACGGATTACATGTAACGACGTCACGTAATTTAATTACAAAAACAGAGTAACTGTAATTCGTTACAGTTAAAATGAGAAAATATGTAATTCATTTACAGTTACGAAAATATTAAGAATTACAAATTTAGTTACATTTTTTTTTTAAATATAAAGAAAAACCTTTGTGAAAAATTTACTGTAATGATATTTTTATTGCTTCGCGCCCTGTATCGCCGTTTCCCACTATGTCTCCTTGTCTC